GGGTGGCCAGAAAGCCAATCCAAGAACTGGGTTTGGGAACAGACTAAGTCAGGAAGCTGGAGGATCAGACAGGGTATGGAGTCAAAGGGCAGCCAAGGGCAAGAAGCCAGGAGATCAAACAGGGTGTAGGGTCTAGGGACATGCCAAGTCAGGAGGCCAAAGGATCAGACAGACAGCAGAGTAAGAGGGCAAGCCAAGTTGAGAAGCCAGGAGATCAAGCAGAACTGAGGCAGAGCCACAGGCTGGAGGAAACAGCAAGACACTCTGGGCTCCAGCTGAGCAAAGCACAGGACACTTCCTGTTCCTGTGCAGGAGTTTATACAGAGGGAAGTGAAGAATTGGCTGACCCCAACTGGCCATTCCCACAGCAGGGAATGAGCAGATGTTTAGGCCCTGATGGAGGCTTCCCGACTGCTTTGCCCAGTCTGAATGATCAGCCAGGGGGTAGCGGGCCAGGACCAGTGGTCTTGCCAGGCAGACTGTGACCCCAGATTCAAGGGAATGGCCTAACACAATGAGCCATAAAAATGTTCCACAAATAATGTAGAACCTTTTTATGGCTGGTTTATAGGGCACCTTAGACTGAACATGTGTCATGTCGACACATTGGGGCTCTCCAAATCAATGCCTGACAATCAGCTGATAGTTGGAAATAGCTCAGGACAGCCCCAGTCTCCAGTCAGTCTGCTGACAATATTGTTGGCACTGGCCTGGGCTGTACTGGTCTCCAACAAGCTTGGGGCTGCCCCAGGGTCTGTGACAACAATTAGCTGATTTGTTGGGACCAGCCCCGAGACCAGTCCTGATTCTTCAGTGATACTTGGGACTGCCCTAGTTTGTAGGAATGAAGGATCAGAGGCTGTGGTGGGAAGGGGTAGCCCCCTGGGGTCTTTAAAACATGCACCTGACTGTTTTGGTGGGGCTGCCAGAGCAGGGTTTAATGTCTCCCTCTGGCTTTACCTTCTGGGAGCCTATGAACACCCTCTCTCAGTAGCCCCACCGGAGTTGCTGTGACAGGCACAAAGTCTACTGAGCACCAAGGTACACCAACTGTCAGGTTGAGAACAAAACAACTTAAATGAGAACTTTGTATTACATCCTAATTGAAGACATGACAACAGGAGGAGGAACAAATTACTAGGCAGGGGCAAATGATGATGCATGGTGGTATATCAATAAGATTATATGGTAACTCAAAATAGGCTAGTGCGCAGCATAGTGAAATGCATTTTATTTTGTTTAATAAGTAAAATAAATGCCTTTTTTTTGGTAGAAGTAGGTTTTCAGGAGAAACTTGTTTGAAATGAAAGTAGCAGTATGGTGTATTAACTCCCAGTGGCACTCTATGATTAGAGGCAATGTAAAACCAGACTCCTTGGGTGAAGCTTAAAGACATGAACAACACAGAGTTTGGTGGTGAAGGAGAAGTGTTCATTAGTTTTCTTCATCTACCAAATCACCTATCCAATGTCACCTATCAAAATGTCAAAATTTAATGAAAGTAGTGGCCCTAAAAGAAGTAAGTGGAATTATACAGAATGATTACATAGATTTAAACAGGATTACAAAGGCAGTTAAAAGACACTCTAATACATTTTTGGTTTTCCCTGCATGTTTATACTAGTGAATAATACTCAGTATAAATGAATTCATAGAAAAGTACTCTCTCACTTGAGCATGCAAGTAGATTCTGAAACACTTCTTTGATATGAGGAATTTTCTATATTGCTGATATTCCTCATGGTAAGCAGAAAAGGGCAAGATGGGTAATGTCCAAGACGGGTCCTTTGAGCCTTTTCTCTGGAATAATTTTAGAGGGAGTGCCCCCTTTTGATGTTAATTGGCAGTCTGCTTTTTATAGAAAAGAAAGTTGTAAGTGCAGCTGAGGGATTCTTGCTCCCTCTGAAATGAATAAGAGTACTGCATTGGCTGTGCTAAGTATAAGAGCTTTCTAGTAGTTTTTCAGAATAATCCACATAACAAAACAATCCAAACCACAAAAGCAAATTGTTCTCTAATATGCACACATGAAGTTTTTGTTGAATTAAGAAGGTATATCTGAATTTAAGATTAAAATAATGAGAAAACAACAACAGCAAAATGCACCAGGCACTGAATTTATATGCACCTTTCTAGAGTCTGACTTATGTTATATCTAGATCTTTGCCTTGTACAGAAATTGTAGATCGGTGTAGGTTTTTACTTACATTTATGTCCTAATCATGCTCTATTTTGTTCTATATTTTACAATATTTTTTTTGTTTATAACAGTCAACTCAGTCATACATAATTGCTTTGGACAAGTACAGCAAATGGAAGATTTACTAAAAATGAATTTAAAATAAATCTTGGTTTACAAGCAGAAGAAATGTAACAGTATCTACCTACCCCCTAGTGGGCTGTAGGACATGTTATTTTGATTCCTATCAAAAGAATATCAGGATGAGATTACTTTAGATACTGACTTAGCTCAAAGGCAAGAGAATTTCTACACATCAGATGTTTCATGGCTGTATGCGTGCAAACTTACTATGAGAAATATTAAAGCGAATCCATTACGTGGGGACTTTCAAAATGTTATAAACCCTCTAATGTTCACATCAAATTACAATTTTCAATCTATGGAGATATAAATATAAATATAGATTTTTTTTTACCCTTCCGATACGTAGAAATCAGAAACCCAAAACTACATTTCATGAAAATGAATATGTGTACAGGTCTCACTGTAACATGAAGATAAATCTTAGTTTCAGTCATCCTTTTTTCCCCCTTTGATTCAGAGTTCAAATTATTTTGATCCATTTTCAAATTTGTAGAGGGGATAAAGGTCTGGAAGCTGTGGACTAAGATAAATAGGCCAGTCTAATACAGTTAGTAAATGGTAATGCAATTCAGACAAAAATACAGATGAGAGGAATAATGAATTCCCTCTTGGAATTCACAAAGGGCTCAACTGTAATTCACCATAAGCACCTATACAGAGAAAAAGGTGTTTAAGCCTGTGTGTAGATGAAATGAGGGGCGTGTGCGCAAGACGTTTAAAGCAGGTTAAATGATTCCGCACCACTATAATGGTGTTGGTGTTGCATGTGGCGACGGCATATTGCGCAGTAATTCCAGCTGCTGTAGCAAATTCAGTGGCATAATGTGCCTTGGGATGTGATTTAATGTGACTTAAATGACTTGCGATGTAGCAAACTGAAACTCCTTGGAGTTGTGGAGTTTTCTCAAGCAAATCCCGGGACGTCATTCTCCCCTTGTACTCAGCCTTAGTGAGGCCGCAGCTGGAGTACTGTGTCCAGTTTTGGGCTCCACAATTCAAAAAGGATGTGGAGAAGCTTGAGAGAGTCCAGAGAAGAGCCACGCACATGATCAGAGGTCAGGGAAGCAGACCCTACGATGACAGGCTGAGAGCCCTGGGACTCTTTAGCCTGAAAAAGTGCAGGCTCAGGGGTGATCTGATGGCCACCTACAAGTTTATCAGGGGTGACCACCAGCATCTGGGGGAACGTTTGTTCACCAGAGCGCCCCAAGGGATGACGAGGTCGAATAGTCATAAACTACAACAAGACCGTTTCAGGCTGGACATAAGGAAGAATTTCTTTACTGTCCGAGCCCCCAAGGTCTGGAATAGCCTGCCACCGGAGGTGGTTCCAGTGCCTACATTGAACACCTTCAAGAGCAAACTGGATGCTTATCTTGCTGGGATCCTATGACCCCAGCTGACTTCCTGCCCTTTGGGCAGGGGGCTGGACTCGATGATCTTCCGAGGTCCCTTCCAGCCCTAATGTCCATGAAATCTATGAAATCTATGAAGCACCAGGCTCTGTGTAGTGCATGGGCTCTGCAGGAAGCCCCACAGGCAGTGTGGCAGCAGCCTGGGAAGACAGGCTCCACCCAAGGAAAAAAAAACCCAAAACTGTGAACCTGAAAAAGAAAAGCACCAGCCCCACCCCGCAGCCCAGGGACTGCCCCGCCCGCCAGCAGCTCACCCTCCCCTCCTCGCTGCCAGAGAGGCAGATAAGTTTGGGTGTCTGCACGACACAGGGGTTTAAAGCGCCCTAAATTTGAGCAGTGTTTTTGAAAACCCACCACTTCATTTAGGGCCCCTGTTTCCTCTCCACACACCCTAAAACTCCATCTCATTTCTGGAAGCGAACAGACCCTTTGCAGACAACAGGAAGGGGTTAAGGTCCCCAGTCCTAGCTTATGCCAGAATCAGGTAACCAAATTGTTATGTGACAGAAACCTAGATATGGTACTTTCTTTAAGAGAGGCTGCCTCTTTTGTAGCTGGTTAAAGACCTAGTATAAATATCTTCAAAGCAGAGTTAAAAATGACAGCTTCTTGAGGAAGAGTAGTACTCTAAGAGCAGTAGGCTATGTAGAGAGAATTGTGGTAGAACTAGCTCAGTTGGTCAGAAAAAGGCAATGTTGGAATGAGCTCTTGGTAGTACCAAACATTGTGTTGGGCCAGGGAACCAAGAAGTGATTAGAATGAAAGAGTCTGAAAACTTGGCAAAAAAGCCAAGTAGATAATAGCCCTGGATTGACAAAGGAGAATCTCTTGAGATAATACATCAGCAGGAGCATCCCCTAGCACTGTGCCAGCTGACATGGCTTATTTTTTCTTTTGTAGAACAGAAGTAGCAAGCACTGAATTGTGATTGTGTCATGATATGGTCCTTAATTTAATCTAAGACAAAGTATATATAAACTAGTTGCCTTGCTAGGAATTTACAGTAACTTCATTATCTAGGTCTAAACATTTTGAACCATGAAATGAAGAGTTTGTTTTTAACTACACAGTTTCCTACTTCCGAACTCACTGAGTCATTATATGCCATTGATTTTTGGTCACATTGAATATAGTTTATGTCATTGTGTGAATTTTATCTCTACACAATAATTTCCTATTACTTTCTATTAGATTATTTTTTCTTCCTATTGACAGTATGTTTTATGGTGACATTTTATTTCTATATTCCCTGTTTGCAGGCTTTGATCTAGTGAAGTGTGAGGATCCTGGGATACCAAATTATGGATACAAGATCCGTGATGAGGGACATTTTACTGACACTGTAATTTTATACAGTTGCAATCCTGGATATACAATGCATGGTAGCAATATTATGACTTGCCTAAGTGGAGATCGAAGAGTGTGGGACAAACCTTTGCCTACTTGTATAGGTAATTTTGAATATATGACTTTAATGTATAGGGTTGTGGCTGCATAAGGGGGGTTGCAACAGCTGAAGTACGGGCACATACCAGCAGGAAAGCATTTACTATATGTTGTTTTAAGCATGCAAGAAAAAAATTGTACTTTAATACCTACTTTCTCTTCCATCCCCAATACCTCTAGATCAGGGGTCAGTAACCTACAGTCCAGAAGTTGCATCTAGCCTTAAAGGCTGTATACAGATATTTCAGGAGGTTAGGGGGAGATTAGACTGCATTAAAAATGGTCACCTGATCTAATTTAGTTTGCCCAGGTATGGACCTTACACTTTTTAGGTGGATCTACATGCAAACTGTACAGACGTTCAGGTTAGTTAGAGCAGTCTAAAAATGGCCAACCCAATCTAAGTGTACCTCAAAGGTAGTCTAATTTAGCTTGGGTCTGGTGACACTAATCTAACTGAACTTCTGTACAGTTCCCAGCGCAGCTGCAGGGCTGGGAAAGCCCAGCTGCCTGCCTCAGCCCCAGGACTGCACGTTTCCTTCCCTCTCCCTGGCACCAGCTATTTTTAACCTATCCCCCAACCCCCAGATGGACAACCCTCTCCACAACAGACCAGATATTTCCCCCCTCCCCACTCCACCTAATCCTCCCCATCCCACAAGCTGCTGCTCCTGATTCTGGTTTTATCAGTGTTTGCAAATGTCAGGAGCTAAGGAAGAAGGAAAGGTAGG